ACATTGCTCAAGATGCTGAGGAAACATATGAAAAGGAGAGTTTTCAGGCAGATGGCAAACGAAAGAGAAGCAGACCAGCCTACCTTAGTGATTATGTCTCTTTCTGAATACAGTATGTAAATAAAAATGAGTTTGGTAGGAAATACTACTGCAGTTTTAAAGTTCAATGTTTTTAACCATCTTATTTATCTATGCGAGGACGCATATTTTTTTTTCGAAGGCGTGGGTAATGTAATGATATAGAATATTGATGTTGGATTTAAATGCTTGTGAAATCGACCAATCATATCATTTTATATTTGACCAATCAGCACTTGATATTATAGCCAATCAGAGTTTTAGAATCATCAACCAATCATTAGTTATTAGAAAGAGTATAAATATAAACACCATGAAGTATTTGGCTACTTGGTCGTTACTCATCGTTTGAGTAACACCTCCTGGACTAGGTTCTTGGGCTGTGTGGGAAACAACACAATTGTTCGTTAGACCACTCAGCTCAGGAACCTAGTTCCTTAATAGTGTGTCTCAGTGACTAAAGTGTCTTGGTGACTTTAAATAGTGTCTTGGTGACTTTTATTAAAAGGTGTCTCAGTGACTTTTAGGGTGTGTTTTTAAGGTAGTTGCAGACTGTGTCGGGAAACAACAGGATTGTTGGTTAAACCACTCAGTCTGCAACTACAGTGTTATAACTTCATATTTGATTATTTGCTTGATCGTTAGTGATTCAATTGTGGTTGATTCTTTTCTTATAATTTGTTGTCGTTTAGTTCATATTTGTTTGCTAATCATTTATCCAGATAGGACCGAGGAAAAAGTATATATACATAGTGAATTTCAGTCAGTTTCTTGTTATAGTGCCATTGTTGTTGAAGTTTGTTTGATTCATATTATAAACGTGATACTTAGGAAGGAATCCTAAGCGGACCTATTAAATAATTATTTGTACTTTGTAAAAAACGTTACAATAGTAACTTGGGAATGAAAATGTAGGTCAGATCCAGCATCCGAAGTTAGTCTGGTAGTGTCCATTCATAGATACACACCCATGCAAGTTTGGTTCAGGTAGAGGCTTATAGTTACTTGGGAATGAAAATGTAGATCAGATCCAACATCCGAAGCAAGTCTGGTAGTGTCCATCGCTAGATGCAAGTTTGGTCCAAATAGGGCTTATAGTTACTTGGGAATGAAAATGTAGGTCAGATCCAGCATCCGAAGCTAGTCTGGTAGTGTACATCCCTAGATACATCATCCATGCAATTTTGGTTCAGTTTGGGCTTATAGTTACTTGGGAATGAAAATGTAGGTCAGATCCAGCATCCGAAGCAAGTCTGGTAGTGTCCATCTCTAGATGCATCATCCAAGCAAGTTTGGTCAAAATAGGGCTTATAATTCCTGTGGAATGGACCTGCTCCAAAAACTTTAACCTGGTCACTCAACTGGAAAATGTAGGTCAGATCCAGCATCCGAAGCAAGTCTGGTAGTGTACATCCCTAGATGCATCATCCATGCAAGTTTGGTTTAGCTAGGGCTTATAGTTACTTAGGAATGGACCTGCTCCAAAAACTTGAACCTGCTCTAAAAACTTTAACCTGGTCACTCATCTAGAAAATGTCGGTCAGATCCAGCATCCGAAGCAAGTCCGGTAGTGTACATCCCTAGATGCATCATCCATGCAAATTTGGTCCAGGTAGGGCTTATAGTTCCTTGGGAATGGACCTGCTCCAAAAACTTTAACCTGGTCACTCATCTAGAAAATGTAGGTCAGATCCAGCATCCGAAGCAAGTCCGGTAGTGTACATCCCTAGATGCATCATCCATGCAAGTTTGGTTCAGGTAGGGCTTATAGTTACTTGGGAATGGACTTGCTCCTAAAACTTTAACCTGGGACGCCGACGCTAACGCCGACGCCGACGCCAACGCCGGGGGTATAAGCATAAGCTCATCTCGACTTCGTTGAGGTGAGCTAAAAAGTATTTTTAAAGTATAGTGGGACATTGTTTAATATTTTTGTACATTTTACGCATACCTTGAATATAATTTTTGAAGAAAATGAAGCGAAAACTACGACGGCGTATTCGTGCCATTTTAACAATGTAGAATTTTTTTTTAAAATCGTTTGAACGATTTAATAAATCGTTTGTACGATTTAATAAATCGTTTGTACAATTTAATAAGTCGTCTGTACGATTTAATAAATTGTTTGTACAATTTAATAAATCGTTTGTACAATTTGTTTGTTAAATCGTTTGTACAATTTATTGAATCGTTTGTACAATTTATTAAATTGTTTATACAATTTTTTAAAATAGTTTGTACGATTTTTATAAATCGTTTGAACAATTTAGGAAACCGTTTTTACGATTTAAGAAAACGTTTGTACGATTTAAAAAATTGTTTGTACGATTTAATAAATTGTACAAACGATTTAATAAACTGACTTGTACAAACGATTTAACAAACAAATTGTACAAACGATTAATTAAATTGTACAAACGATTTACTAAATTGTACAAACAATTTATTAAATCGTACAAACGACTTATTAAATCGTACAAATGATTTATTAAATTGTACAAACGATTTATTAAATTGTACAAACGATTTATTAAATCGTACAAATTTTCTTAAATCGTTCAAACGATTTAAAAAGAAATTTCTACATTGTTGAAATGGCACGAGTACGCCGTCGTAGAAAACCCTTTTATACATGAATGAAAAAATAGTTGGGGTATAAAGAAATGATAATTTTCCCCTCTCTGGAATATGCAATTTCAAAGATGACTAATTTCAATCTTTGAGAGATTGTTGCGCTTTGTGGACATTTGACCTGAAGCATACATTAATTCTTAATGAAATGTCAAAGAATATTTTGTTATAACTGAATTTTAATTTAGTCACATAATAAACATTTGTCCCCTTTATTCACCCATCTTTGCTTTATTTGAAAATATTGTCCCTAAACAGCAGACAAGTGAATTAAAAATATCCTCAAATACATTAGACTGGACCCCCCCCCCCTTTCCCTTTTTAAAAATCAGGGTCAGAAAATGAGCTACGGTTGCTAAATATTTGTAACTTTGTATTAATAAATCACTTCAATCAATATTTCTTCTAAAAAAGTAACTTCAAAACATTACAATTTACTTTAAAAAATTAATGGGTATTTAATTTTGAAAAAAAATTAATCATTCCAATCCATCACTTCAACAACCCCCTCCCACTTGCCCCTTTCAAAATTGATTTTAAATTAAGCATTGGTCTAACTCATCCTTTGATAGGCAACTTTCTACATATACCTTTCATTCATTTGGGACATCCTCCTTGAACATACGTGGATAAATTTTGATAAATCTTAAATATTTAATATTTTTTTATTGGTCATATCATCATTATACAACATTAATCTTACAGTGTAAATAAATTACTGAGAATGTTCTTCTTTTCAACAGTGAACTTACAAAAATATAAATTACAAAATCCTTTCATCACACTTAAATACAAATATCAGTTTAAAGATGGATTTACCCAAAATAAAGACATTAACAAAACAGCATCAGAGGATTTGCCGAGAGGAAATATGAAGGACTTCCCCCACTGAAGTTGAACAAGAGATTCTGAGAGATGCATACACTATATTTTAGGCAGGACTTTCACTAGGACTTTGTATCCGAGTTTTCTTTCTTGGTTTAGATCATGATTCGTGATCACTAGCTTTTCTTCCTCATTGTAAAATGGGTTCTAATTCCTTTTTTGCTCCTTAATTTTTCAGTCCTCTAAGGTGCTCCTACAGAATGGGCAGTGACCTTTCTGAAGATACTGGAGTTCAAAGTCATCAGTGTGGAACAACTGACAATAGAACAAATAATCACATTTACTGAATGATAACAACAAAATAATCTCTATGAGAGTGAATAAAAAACTGCTGAATTTTCTTTTTTTTGTAGGTTTCAAAATATTTTTTGGCAGTGTAATGATGATTAAATTAATTACACTACACTGCATTTCCCATAAAAAATTCTTTAATATAACTTATTATTACACTTGGGACAAAGAGTAATAGTGATCAAATACTGGCAATACATTATACTTTAGGAAATTTGAAAGTTTTGACCTAAGACCTTAGTACTGTAGATCACTTAATTTTCGCGACACCTTATTTTCGCGAGATAGTCATTGACTCTTGATTAGCAAGACAAAATTTTCACGAATTGTGGTTATTACTCTATATAATCATAAGGAATGCTATAATACGCGAGAATTAAATTTTCGCGAGCACACTGTCTCGCGTAATTACGCGAAAATAAAGTTCTCGTGAATAAATAGTGATTTACAGTATGTTTGCTGCATGCAAACCGTGTAATGATTTGACATTTTACACTAAGAAATGTAATATATTACCTTATTACACTTAGGACACTGAGTTATAGTGACATCAGGCAGTAGGGATCTGAAGAACTGGTATCTCAGTGGTTTAGGCCACTTAAGAATGTAAACCTCTGATCTAGATAAAGTTTGTAGAACAGATTTTGTTACAACCACAAGGGACGGATTGTTTTTCTCTTGCTGTAAATAGTAAAATGTAATACAAACTTAATTTCCATTAAATGAATAGAGTGCATAAAACAATACTGAATTTAAAAGACAGAAACAACCCCAAAAAACCTTTACTATCAAATTCCTATTTGCACTATAAATCCCTCTTTACTTACATCAAAGGTCATGAGTTTGGCTGAGAATGGGTCCTCATCCTCAGGTTCATCATCCTGAGCTTGACCTAAACTCAGAGTCTGGGCATCTTAAAGCCAGTCAAGGCAAACTACTACCTCCTACATTAACTCATATATAGGCCAAATTCATCACACTTATACACGGATATAGAAATATATACAAGAGGCCCACGGGCCTTATAGGTCACCTGAGTATATTGTAACAACTTTCAAACAATTTAAATTTGGTTTCGTTTTAAACCAGAGGCCATGAAATTCACAATTCACAATTTTGAAAGAGGCACCATTGCTTATCATAATTATTAACTTAGCATGCTTACTCTATTTACTTAATACCCAGAGGTAGATCAGAGTAACAAAGAGAAAATGCACTTCCACTTTATACCCAGTTGTGCACCTCACCCCAAAGGAACCACTGACCTGGGGCCACATATTTAAAAATTTTGCAAATTTTATCATAAAATGGTTGATTAATACCAAAGAGCAGATTTCAAAGCATTAATTTATTTTCAGACTATGTACCCCCCCACCCTTCTGACCCAGGGGGCATAAAAAAAACTCTTTGCAAGATGCACCTTTCTTTATCATAAATATATATACATGTACTGGATCATTGGCATAAAACCAAGAAGCAAAGGAAAATATTTTCAAAGAATTAATGTATTTTTACTTTATAATCAATAGAGCCCCGCCCTAACACCAGAACCCCTAATCCTGGGGCCATAAAATTCACAATTTTGGAAAAGGCACTCTTGCTAATCATAACTATGTACTTACTTAGTTTTAATACCCAGAAGCAGAGAAGAAGATTTTCAAAGAATTAATGCATTTTCACTATATATTCTATAGAGCCCTGCCCTAGCACTAGAACCCCTGACCCTGGGGCCATGAAATTCACAATTGAAGTTGCACTCTTTCTCAACATAACTATGTACTTAATTAGTTTATTTAATACCTAGGAGCAGAGAAGAAGATTTTCAAAGAATTAATGCATTTTCACTATATAATCAATAGAGCCCCGCCCTAACACCAGAACCCCTGACCCTGGGGCCATTAAATTTATGATTTTGGAAAAGGCTCTCTTACTCATTATAACTATGTGCTTAGTTAGTTTATTTGATATCCAGAAGCAGAGAAGAAGATTTTCAAAGAATAAATGCATTTTCACTATATAATCAATAGAGCCCCGCCCTAACACCAGAACCCCTGAACCTGGGGCCATGAAATTTATGATTTTGGAAAAGGCTCTCTTACTCATTATAACTATGTGCTTAGTTAGTTTATTTGATATCCAGAAGCAGAGAAGAAGATTTTCAAAGAATAAATGCATTTTCACTATATAATCAATAGAGCCCCCGCCCTAACACCAGAACCCCTGACCCTGGGGCCATAAAATTCACAAATCTGGAAGAGGCACTCTTGCTCATCATAACTATGTACTCAGTTAGTTTATTTAAATCCCCAGGAGCAGAGAAGAAGAAGATTTTCAAAGAAATAATGCATTTTCACTATATAATCTATATAGCCCCGTCCTAGCACTAGAACCCCTGACCCTGGGGCCATGAATTTCACAATTTTGGTAGAAGACTCAATGCTCATTACATTCATGCCAACAGTTTGCCTGCTTGGTATCCAGGAGTAAAGAAGAAGATTTTTAAAGATTGCAATAATTTTAGAGGTTTTGGCCCCACCCCTCAGGCCCCAGGGGAGCAGGGACCAAGAAATTCACAATTGTTGTTTCCCTTCACCCATAGATGCTGTATACCAAATTTGGTTGACATTGGTTCAGTGGTTTCTGAGAAGAAGCTAAAAATGTTCAAATTTTAACACACGACACTCGACACACGACCGACGACGACGGACGAAAACGGATAGCAATAGGACACCCGATTGACTCAGGTGACCTAAAAATGCAAAAATTATCCTTGGAACAGGAAAACAAATTTAAAATTCTCTCATGAACTTCTCTTGAATTTATCTTTGATATGTAATTCATAAATTTTATTACTCTCAGACAAAAGATCCTGAGCATATCTTGGAACATATTCTCTCTAAAACTGCATAAATCTAATGTCAGTTTGACTCAGCATGACTTTATCATTGTGATATTAAGAATTTCGTCCGATGCACCCTCCTTCCAGCCTCGATCCTCTTTCTTCTGTTTGGGTATAGACAGGTCCAGGATCTGTACCAGCCTCCTCGTCCGTCAGACTGCTGTCTAACACAAACTCCACCAGCGGCAGCACCTCTGTAAAACAACAGATAAACATGTATTAAGTCTTCATTAAGCAAAGACTATCTTTATTAAATTTTGCATCTTTTTCATCACATTTTAAAAATAAATCTGTCGCGCAGATTTCCGTTTCCCTATTCGCTTATTTTCAATTTCATTTTTTTTCAATTTAACAAAAATATTGCTTTTAAGTGTAAAAGAAATTAAGTTATAAAAAAAAAACCTCACCAAATGAGACAAAAGAGTGGACAAATGGTTGTCTACAGTTGACACAGCAGTTTCCTCCATTGTTCAGAAGAGGGTTTGTGGTGGAACAGCGGTAACACATGGGAAGGAGCTCCTAAATCAAAACAACAACCAAATTCAGATTTAAACAAAAAAAAAAACTTTCAAATTGAAAATGCATCATACTTATTAACGATACATAAAACATAAAATTAGCCATTGTCCAATTTATACACATGTACAATACCTCGGAGTCTTGGAATGCCTTGGATCGGATCATCACACTACCTAGATCTACAGCCTCCTGGAATCTACTGGGTATCCTCAGTGTCTGTAACTTCTCATAGGCGTAACGAGCCAACTTAAAGGCTCCAGGTTCTTACTCTGCTTGGCTAATGCATATAGTGTCCCTCTTAACACTCAATTAAGGAATATTCAAAAATGAGCAATTTCTTTACTGATTTCTATAGTTCAAAATGGTTCTAACTGAAAAAATTTCATTCTTTGAAATATTTTTGTTTGCAATGTACCAGAACTGTATGGACTTGTAAATTTCTTCTGAAGTCTGTTTAAGTTATTTTAAATAAGAAGAATTAAATTGAAAGGCATTCATATTTTAAAGTAGCACATGGATCTTTAACCAAAGTTAAATGTACTGTATTAAAACCAAATCAATTAAACGAAGGATACACTTTAGAGATTCCGTGTGGTATTCCACTCTGGATCATATGAAGCAGATATCGAGAAATGTTAAACAGGGCTTCTGGTAGATGTGATGTGAAAGGCTCATCCTGAAACAGACACATTCAATTCAAGTGATTACTAGTACTGACATGAAACAACACATATCATATTGAATGCAAGGACTATGGGATATCAAAAAAACCTATTCATTAAATAATAGTGCAATAATGTACAAAGATTTTTGGGGATCCTGAAAGAGATACCCTTTTCTAAACAAATACATGTGCATGCTTGCAAATTGTATTTCAGAGACATTTAAAACAAAGCTACAGAGTTAAATCTAAACTTGCTTCTCTCTAGAATGCTAGACTTACTGTATATCTTTGAATGGAATGGTAGGCGTAATACATGTCAGCCTTCCTCTGATAGTCTTGGAACTTGGCAAACATTTCTTCTCGTTTCTCTGAATCCTCTACAAAAGGAGCCAAGATAAAACTGATGAAATTAAGGTGGAAAAAAGGATGATAATATATGAGTGCAGAGCTCACAATAAATATGATCCCAGTTAAGCTACTTAATTCATGCTCCTGAGCAGTAAAAACTTTACAGGTCAAAAAATATTCAGAAGATCAGAAGTTACAAGTTAAACAATAACATAATTTTTGTCAATATTCACACTTCAAGATACCAAGTATTACAATATCATAAACAGTGTAACAACAAAAAAGGATAAGAACACTCAATATACTTTTTTGTACCCCCATTAATTAACATTTTATTAAAAAACAAAAAAAAATTTATATCACAGCAAGCACACAAAGTAAAATCAGACTAAAATTCGTGTTACATGTTATCAGAAAACTAAAACTTAATTAGGTCAGGTTCTGTGCAGGGAGTATATTTGTCATTTTTTCATCGAATCTTTGGGGGTGGGGGTGTTTCTGCATGAATAAAATTTCAACACATGGGTCAACAATAATAAATCTGAATGTCACTCCAATCTTAATTGTGTGGTATAAAATGAAAGGGTGCAAGTTTACAATTATTCATACCACTGTTCTCTGTATAAAGCAGAAATTTAGAAAGATCAGACATATGTACATGTGCAAGAACTAAAACATACAACTCTTCTTCTTAATACTCAATATACATCATACTAAACATAGATTTGTAGCTCTCTAATACATGATATATCAAATTCTTTTTCTCATTTTAAGGGGTATCAACTAAAGCTCTTGTAAATCTTTCATGCTAGTTTCATTTTCCACCAGCTATTAGCATCTTTTTAGCATTTCTAAGCATATACAACCATTTCAATCTCCCAATCATGCTTAGAACTATATCTTTTACAGAATGGCTGACAAATTTGCAAACAATTTTTAACTCGCCATGATAACCGTTCATACTAGCTCAAAAAATTGGAATTCAGCGATATCTATTTCTTGAAACTCCTAAAAATGGACTTTCTGGCTGTTACATAGGTACTGTGGAATCATTTTAATTTGTGGTTGCCAAAATTTGAGGATAACTAAAAATTTAGAGTTTGTGGGAAATATTTTTCAATTTTTAAGAAGCTGAATGTCTTGTTGAAGATTTCAATTACGATTTTTGATGAGACTGTAAATTCTTGAAAATAAAACTTCTGAAAAATACTGACATAAATTCCACAGTAAAAAAGACTGGCACTATAACAAACCCTTGTTTTTCAAAGACTTATAGCTGGACTAGGGACAATGAACTTCTAATTTTTTTTCACATATCAAGAATATTTTAATGTTAGCCATTGAAGCAACAAAATAACCCTGAATACAAATACAAACCATCTTCTTCTTCTGAAAACAGGCAAAAACAACTCAGATTTTCAGAAAGGTAGTTTTATATTATATTACTACAACTGACAAAAATACAAAAAAAACAACGAAAAGCATCATGGAAAAAAATCTTAAGTGATGTTGCTCTTGTTAGGTCACCCACCTCTTGCTATATCCAGACACTGCATGGAGAGTTTCCAGAAATAGTACCCGGCATCATTGAAGCGACTCTCAATAACAGCATTGTGTGTTAGCTGTTCCAGGACCTTGACTGCCTCCCCCTGCAGACCAGCCTTATGGAATGCTACAAAAAAAGAACATTTCAACTCCCTTCCCTTAAATTTATGTCTCTTGTTAAAAAAAAAATCAGACATTTTAACAGAAATAGTTTAGAATATTCACCCTCTTGAGCATCATCAAACTTGTCGTTCTCGGCGAGCCATTGAGCGTACGGTACATAAACCTCCTCCTTGTACTCAGGGTGTTTTTCAGCCAGAGTGAAGGCCTGCCACAGAGATACAGTCATTATTAAAAGGGATATATATTTTAAATTATCACTACTTGTCATAAAACTATCAAGAGCTTGGCCTTGCAGTAGATGTTGACATGCCTTTATTCAAATTACTGTAGATTCCTAAATATACGCGTGGAATTAATTATCGCGTAATTTCGCGAGAAGCGCCACACACGAAATAAAATTACTCGCCTTTATTTTTATGATGCTGAAATCTATGTAAAATCTCTTATCAACTGTCCATTCGCGAATTGTTATTCTCGCAATTTGCCGTTAAAGAGCCCATTCGCGATAATAAGTACTCGCGAAAAATAAGGAATCTACAGTACACCAAACAGCCAAACAGTGCATACTGCAAGACTTTAGGGGGTAAAATTTTATTTTTAACAAGAAATCAAGTGAAAGTTATTCATACATCTTCCCAGTGTTTGGCCTCTACATGAAGGTTTATGAGGGCTTTAATATCTCCCATTTTACTGTACACTTCAGCAGCGAAGGGGTACTGCTCCATTTTGGTCAAGTGCATGGCGGCTCGACTCAGAGCTTCACGGTCAGCCTTGTCTAGCTTACGGGCCAGGTCTATCATCCTGTAAATAGGTCAATTTTCAAATATATATCATTTTTGTTTTAGTCACAGGAACATTCAGAACTCTACATGATCAAGATAATAAAGAAACAAATCCAAGTTCTTGTTCATAATACCAAAATGGTTTACAAATGCAGAAGCATGCATATATGTCCATGTAAATAAATACATGTATCATTTGGACCAAAACCTTCATTGTAGTTAAAATTAAATCTTACATGTCAGCCCATCCGTGTTCCCCTACAATGTCAATAGCCTTACAGTACTCCCCAGCTGAAATGTACATTTCAGCAGCAGCCTTTGGCTCATTACTGCTCTTGGCCCAGTCAGCCTGCTTAGTAATTAGCATCTTCTTATCCAGAGGGTCTCCAGAGCCAATGTATTCCTGTAAATACAGCTTACTTACTTAATATCTGAATCCTAAATAAACATATTCCAATCGATTCAGTACACCTGGTCAGTGACAAATATCTTGATATTCTAACATCAGTGCTAACTTTTTATTGTAAAATGAGCACATGTTTAATAATTTTATTTAAAATGTAATTTGCAATTTATTATGAAAACATTTTAAGAATTCTGTATATAATGTTGTTTATTAAACCTTGGCTTGGTCAAACATCCTGAGGTCTGTATACATATTCATGGCCTTCTGTTCTCCTCCGGCTTTTTTGTACAGTTTGGCGGCCTCGTTGAATTTCCCTTGGTAACTGTACACATCTCCAAGGAAGATCATGTTGTCATTTTCACCTCTCTTTTTCCTCTCCTGAAATCAAATAAAATTCTTTTTTAAATACTGCTCTAATATTATTATTTTATTCAGATTTATCCATTCTTTTTTACTCTTTTCTCCTCAGTTGAACACACCTAACATTTCCATACACTGTAACCAGAGAAAATACAGACCTCTATGGAGTGGATGAGCTCCAGATAGCGGAGATCCTTGATTCTGATGAAGGCTTTCTTGGCCGTGTCGAAGTCCAACCCCTCAAGAGCCTCATGGGCCAGAACTTCCCAGTCCCCGTCTGTCACCCCTAAACAGGCTACCTTGTAGGCATCCCTAGAAATTAAAGGGTTCAGTGAGCTTATAGATGCAAGCAATTATAGTAATTCACATGAGAATATTTAAAGTCTTTTGCTTTGTTATCATTTAACTTTTTTAAAGAACATCAATGGTTATGTTAGGAGCAGAATACAATCAGCACACTTTGTTATTACACCAATCAAGATATCCTTTGCAAATACCCTACAAAGGGCTAGTACTTTCTATCATGTTTATTTTGCCCTATTACACTTTCAATTTCTTTCCTTTTGAATTTTCCCATGAACAGTTGTGTTAAAGAAAAGTTAATTGTCCCATTGTTGGAGGCAATATTAGGATGAAATTTACCCAAACACATTACTTGGAAACCATTTTCTTTACAAAAAATAATGTCCCCTACCCCTTTCTATACAAATATCTGGATAGAAATTTCTTATAAACAAGACTTGGCAGTGTGTTGGATGTCTGTACTTACTTGAAGAGTTTCTTTTCTAGGTACTGGTACATGGAGGCTGATTGTGGAACATCCACTGAGGACATGGAGTAGATGTGGAGACAGAAAATCTTAGATCCACTGAAGCCCACCACAAAACCCTGTAAACACAATATACATTGTTAGATCAAAATCTTAGATCCAATGAAACCTATAAAACCCCGTCATAAAAACACACAATGTAAATTTTAATTCTACAGTGTCATATAGAAAATTAGTAAGTAAAGTACAGATTTATGTCAGCCCTACAAACTAAATTATGAATATGCTGTCATCCTTATTCTATTTTATACTGAAACCATCATTCAGTTTAATTAAACCAAAAGGGCCAAGTACATGTTATAGCAAACAAACAATAACAGCAATAATTTCATGAATGTAAATGTACATGCGTGTACAACTGTGTTCACATTTTTTTATGGATGTATCTTTTTTTTCAAGTACATATTAATAAATGTACACTGTGTTAAGTGAAAAAAATCCCATCTAAATCTAAGTTGATATACAGCTGTAACCATGACCATTTTTCACAGCAATACCTTCTATCCCTTAAGAATTTAAAGATATTCAGCTTTGCAAAGAGTGCAGTAAAGAGTGCAGCAACTTGGAACAAGAGGCCCATGGGCAAAAACACTTAGCCAAGCACTCTCCCCCTACCCCTTTACCAGATAAATTTATGTAAAGGAAACACCTTTTTTGGAACCAAAGTAAGTCAAATGATTGAAAAAACACTAATTAGTTTGCAAATAATCAATATGAAATATTTTTCTTAATGGCCCAAGCTTAAACTATACTGAATATGCTCATAGTATACACATATACACTAAATGTAAATAAATACAGACAGTCAGACATATGGACCATTTTAATCAGAAAAGCTCACTTGAGCCTTTGGCTTTGCAGAGCTAAGAACTAATCAAACATGTCAACAAAGTACAAAAAAAAACTGAACAATCATAAATCACTCTTACCTCCTAATAACCAAAGAAAAAAAAAATTAGGATTAAATACAAATTAGTGAATGTAAGATAGTCTTTCTACATAAATTTGTATCATTTCTTTATAAGATTCCACACAAACTCCAAAGTCGACCCTTACTTGAAGCTTCTGAACATGAACTGGGAAATTGCTGGCCTTGATGTTGAGTAACCCATTCCCAGAAAAACAGAGCATGTCTTCATAGTGTGTATTCCAGGCTACACTGTTAGCATTCGGTTCCTGTAGAAAGAAAGCCAAAAATATTAAATCAATAAGTACTACTTATCTATCAACAGATTCATATTAAAACTTAAGTTTTTGAAATACATGAAATTGAAATATTGCATTCATGAAACAATTGAATTTCAAATTTTTCTTATGTTAACAAAATCAATGTCACTAAATTTAGCAAAATACATGTAAATGTACAAAAAAATTGCAGTTAAGGATGTACAACACACCTACCCCCCAAAAATTCCTGTCGTTTAATTTTCGTTATTTTTGTATATTTAGTACATGACTATATCTACTGCATGTATGCACATTTTGGACAAAATCTTTCGAGTGGTTTTTGGACGGGAACTTCCAAAAGTTACCTCCCTTTAATTGTTTACAAGGAGAGAAAAATTTTAATCAACGAACTACTTAAACCTTGATTTTCAAAAAAGCCAGGTTAGATATAAATGTCAAATTTCATTGACTTATTCCTTTAAGCATTTAACACAAAAACATAGTCATCTTTTTGATATACATATCATCAAAATAATTTTTAAAGACCTTAAACTGAAAAACTATGAATTATCTAAGCCTTGAAAATTGTGTATTTTTCAAATTCAAAATTTTTTTGTGAAAAAACCTGTCGTTTAATTTTGGTAAAAAACTTTCTTTAGGTAGCTGGTAGTAAAAATAATCTTCATAATTTATTGTATAATTTTTGTACGACCAGTTTTGATTCAATAGCGGAAAATTACCCCCTCCCCCTTTCTCAATAAATCACGTTCCCGCGCGTCTTTCAGACGGGGGTCGATCACTTTGCTATGAATCTACAAATACACATTTAAAAAAAATCAAATTGGAATATTGCTTTTGCTTCAAAAATATATTAATTTACAAATTTTAAAGTTCTCATATGTAAAGCGTATTTAAATGTAGATTTATAGGCAATTTTTGAATACCCCTACCACCCCCAGCCCTTCCTTTTTTGCGTCGCAGACCATTAGCGTTTGACGAAACGTCGTTTACAGTTCAAAGTTAGTATTTCGTTTTTTGAATCCCGGGGGTATGCATTAGTTTTTAAATTAATGAATGCAGAATAAATATTGACTTTTTAGTTTTAAATCCATATATGTACGCGTTATGCATTCCATATCACATGAAACCTAGTTGAACTTGAATATGTTGATTTTTAATTTTATTTCTTTAATATTATTTATCAAAAAAATGGTGTATGTTCATTTCTCCTGTGATATAAATGGAATTATTGTAGTTTCTTTCATGTCATTATAATTTCAAACGAGACAGTATGTGGCCGTGGGGATACATCGACATTTGCATAGATGTACACCCCTCATGATATTGTACGCATTCTTTCAATGTCGTTGCTTCTAAAGTAAAAATGAACATTCCGTATTCGTCCACATTAACTTCAAAATATCAAACATTAAACACTTCATCTATTTCAATTTATATCAAATCGCACATTGATATTTTTAAAAATCTTATAGGCTACGTTTTGTTTTGATTCGAGGAAATGCGAACCGACATTGCATTGTTTGCAGTGACAGAAAGTCAAACGATTTGCTGCCGATATTCATAAATGCAGATAATTTCAGTACTAGTGAACAATTCTTTTCAATTCTATACTTACATTGTGTATATGAGGTCTATAGTATTCAATTCTCGGATTTATCAGGTCTTGCTGTAAATGTATTTCTGTGGAAAACCGTGAATAAAGGGAGGAAAATAAACATCTCCTACATTTTCAGAGTTCTTCCTCTTTGATCAGCAAGGGTCTGAGAACAACATCAATTTTACATTGTGAAAAGTTTTTTGTTTGTTTATTGTTGTTTTATTTAATTAAAGAAGAAAAACAACATCTATATCGTAAATGCACAAATTGTAATGAAGACCATTAATTAATCGGAATGTTATATAGCCAATTGTACATAATGAGAATTTCGGCAATGTAAAATAAAATTTTCAGAATAAAAAAATTGCTGCGCTTTGATCAAGTTTACAATTTTATTGGAATGAAATGAAATAAACAATAAGGGATGGTATTTTATGTCTATTACTTGCTTTTTACTGAGTTTAATCGGGTTAATTAAAAAAATACTTATTGATTGAGTATGGTACGCATAATCACAGCCAAGCCCCATATCCTATTTTTCTTTAATGATTGAAATACATCAGGATCGTTTTACTCGTCATTTTGACGCTTTATTTTTGATGTTAAATTTGACGTCACGTCAAACGTTCAATTGAAATCGCAGGAGTTATCTCCCCCAGTGTGTTGTACGTCTTTAAATATAAATCATAGCTAAATAATTCAGAAAATGATAATCATCATGCAAGAGATGAAACATTTATTGAAAATTTTCAAACTTTCAACTTTATTTAAAATGCAAAATCAATTGTTTAAATGCAGCTTCTCAAATCCCAAATAATTAAAATTTTACTTCACTATTTACCCGCTGTACAGTATATACCTGGAACAATAGATCCTTAGTGTTGATGTCATACACCAGACACGTGTTGTGTTCGTCCACCACAGCCAGCTTTGTTCGCGAGGCACTGACGTCCAGACAACGGACCGAGGTACTCTGCTTCAGGAGCATGATGGGAAAAGCGTTGTCCACAAAGATCTTCATAATCTATCATCACAAAAAGAAAAAAAATTATTTGTTTCAATGAATTTTCAAGGCATAATTGTTAAAATTCTTAATCTAATTTTATACTTCATGTTATCTTTAACTGCAATTAGAGCTATATGCACAGTATATGTATATTCAAAACTTTATCAAAATTCCTGAAAGTATGTCGAAATGAGAAAAAGAAGACATTAAGATCCCCTCCCCACAACATAACAGAACCATTACCAAAAGTATATGTATATCAGTACAAGTGTTGAATTAAGATTCTGAAATTTTATAAGAAACGAAACAATAGTGCAGGAATATACAAAGACATAAACAGAACAAACAGACAGATGACAAATATTCAGGTTGGCCTTTAAGGAAAAGGTGGTGCAAGGATGACCTTGTGGAGGTGAAGGTCAAAGGTCAAGCACCCACCTGACCATTCTTCAGGCCAACCAGAAGAGCCTCGCTGCCCAGCGGGTGATTGGGCGTGACACGTACCTGCCCATTCTTCAAGCCAACCAAGAGCCCCTCGCGACCTGAGGGGCCCCCGATGACCTTGATGTACCGAATCAGGGACTCCATCAGCCATTCCCGCTCTTTGATTCCTTGGAAGGAGTAGCACTGGAGTCGCTTGTCCTATTCAAATATAGAACAATACTACAAAATCCTACATCTATATAAATCAATTAAAAGTTTAGACACGCTCTGTACTTCTTTGATTTTGACTGCACACTTAGGAACATACTGCATGCTTTCTAAACTGTAGCTCTCATATTTTACATCATATAGCAAAATGGCTGGTAGACATAAAATTGCAAGAACACTTATAAGAGGACTGTTAATCAAGAGTCTCAACATTTATTTATAAAAAAAATCAAAGCTTGTGATTCTATTTTGCAAATGGTGCTTCAATCAAAATTATGTAGTTATGAGAATATTAAGAAGATGAATTTAAGATAATATTGTATTCAGAATTATAAAATTAATCTACAAGGTTATTATTTTAGCTTACCTGACAAAGAATGATATTTTGGGAACAAACGACGAGGAGATTACACTCAAACTTCTTGTTAATCTTCTCCTTGACTTTGTAATGCATATCAGCGGCATCGTCCGAGTACAGCTCGTATATAACTATCTTGTCTGGTAGCTGTACCTAAAATGAAAAGTTTTATCTTTCAATGGTTAAAATTTGTACTAACTTATGATTTATTACATTAATTATTTTGTATGAATGAAAGCAAATACTAAATGACTTACTGCTAGTCTGTGTCTATAAATAGCTATCTTCTTAACCAAGTCTCTGCATTTGATCCTCACTGAAATATGGACAATTTTTGTTATGTCCAATAGTACATGTACAGTCTATGTAACAGGGACAAGAAAAATTAATCTATAAAGTATTGAAAGTATTCTATTTTTAAAAGCATACACGTATATCAATACTTTTGTTAAAAGAGAATAAAACTTAATACTTCTATGTATTAATAAACAATTCAAAAGAAAATCTTTAATTTATATAACATGAAATGGAAAATACAAAATTAATACCATACTTTATAAATAAATTTGGAATTCCTGATTTAAAAAAAAAAAAATAAATAAAATACCCTGATAAGGCAATGAGAAAAAAAACAGTAAACCTTAAAATACACAAACAAATCCATGCAAGAAAAAAGAAAAACAAAAAAATTTAAAACCAGGAAAATATATGCAACCAAACTAAAAATGTCAGAATGGGAAAACCTGATAGACTTCTGTGGCCTCTATATATTGGGGACTGACAAACACCCAACTCAGACACAACTTTGTTTTTGGCTTTTGACAGAACTGAGTCTTTATCATAATACATTTCCTGCACAAATCTACAGTTGTGCAAAACTTGATATCCATTCTTTATCAACATTTCCTGCCTCAGGCATTTCACTAAAGGGCAAAAGAAGAATTTCATAAAATATAAAATTTACAGTTTCATAAAATATAAACTTTACAGCACTTGGATTACACAATGTATGCAGTACCCAAGCTATTTAAATTGAAGAAATAAATTTATAAATGTATATCTGTAATTTTTCCAAAAGAAATAAAAACTTATCTCGAATTTATAATTGCATAAATATTTTGAATATCGTGGAGGCATTAGCCAAATGCTTAACTAAACAAATAGGTTGACTGAACGGATTTCAATGGGCATAAATGGAGTGTTTTCTGCCTGTAGTTTTTCATACTTATTCACTTCAGGTTCAAGAAAGATAGATTCATGAGAGCTTTTGGACTTAACATTTTTTAGAAAAAAAATTACGTCATTCTACTGATACTAAGTTTATTTTTCTGTAATTTTGCTAGTCATTATAATAAATTTAAAAATACCAAGGCCTTTCATAAATAAAACAGACATAAAAAAGGAAAATTACATTACTACAACATATTAAGAAATAAATTTCATGTGATGATCCCAAAATGACTACAAATCAGAGAAAAGAGTACATTTCCAGACAGCCAATGAGAATAAAGCAATATAGGACTATTGACCAATCAGACGTGAGAAGCCTCACCAAGGTAACTATCCTGACTAAGTGAAAAATTGTGTGTTTTCTCTGCTATTGCCAGAATGGAAAGGACAAGAATTCTAATCAGTAGCTATTCAAAATGCATGTACATCAACCAAAATTCATGAAAAAAATTTATATTCTAAAAATCTAATCATATATCACATCAACATGATCAAAATCAACAATAAATCTTCAATTTAAAAAGAATGGATTTAATACATTAATAATCTTCTGTTTTGTGATATACTCTTCATAGTTTTTTGAATTTATTTTATACTAAAATTGTTTTTTTTTTCAGAAATAGAAAACTGATAAGACATTTTATAATATCATACATGTTAACCTGTTGTGATGAAAAATAGGGAGATTCAGACCTCAAAAGCGATAGCATTGCG